TCCAAGATGTCCATGTGCCAGGCTAACACATGTGACAGAACTAGCTACATTTGGAAAGGTTTTTTGTTGCTAAAGTTAACATTCAAGCCATTTAAGAATAAAAATGCTTACATGACATTTGTTAAACATTAAGCTGTCTTCGGCTCTTTTCTGATTCTGATTACATTTAACCTGTTGTAGAAACATTTATTGATGAAATTGATATGAAACAAATGCCATAAATATTGCTGTGACACTGATGTCACATCGGGACATTAACCCTAAACATTCACAGTAAACCCGGAGTGACATATATGCACAATTACAAATATGATTATGATCTGCTCAGTTAATTTAGCTGATTCAATTATATTTAGTTAACATATTCTTTATTATTCAATGTTCAATATTCAATATTATGTTAAATGTAAACCAAAAAATCATCCTCATTAATGAAGTTATAAATAAGAGTTACTTTACCATTAAAGCCCAATGTGACATATATGTCACATTTCAGATATTTGACACTAGGGGGCCGGGGTTACTTGTCAGAAATGTGTTCTAGGTGGTCTATTTAGTCTAAATGACGTTCCCCTTAATTTCCCCAAAAGTATAAATGGGTCCGGGTTCTTATGGGTTAAACGTATAGGCTTAAAGGCATAATAGAACTACTGTATTATATGTATTCAACGTGTACTTTTCTGTGGTTTACCGTTACTGTGACATATCAGTATAGCCACGGAAGATAGTTTGTGTGTTTCATTCCCATGCATCAAGGTTATTTTCATGTATGTAATTGTTTTTCCTGCACAGTATAGAGTCTTGTTGTGATGAGAGGGATACAGGTATTTCATTAAAAAAACATGCTCCCTGGAGAATAGGTACATAATTTATATCACAATTTAATCGGAGCTGATCACAACTTGTCATGAGTGATCCAGTCATGTCGATGAGCGTTTCGGGCTGTGAATAAACAACTTGTGTTTTACTTTTAGGCTGTCTGATGGTATGGACAGCTATCAAAGCTACTACACATCACATTAAGAACGATGTACAAATGAAAGTCGGACACAAATATATAATTTAAATGATTTATTCAAGTTAGCAATATTTTGAACAGGCAGCCACACAGTCACCTACTTTGTAATGTCCGATACCTCCCTGTAAGCGTCACGATATCCACCTCTCACCCACAACCTCACATACGAGTACTGAATGTGCATCAAAGTGATCTTAGGAAGGCAGATATAGCAAAAGATGAACGTAAACGACAAACGAGGCGATCGACATGGTAAGTCAACAATGGGTCCTCAATGTACACGCCCCGGATTCCTATGACGAAAATAATAGAATGTCGCCAGTTGTCATGACTCAAGTTATACTGCAACACTGGCTCTCCCTGGCCGTGGAGACTGGGGAAGGGAGCATATCCCCAGGCGAGGAGCGCTCGGTCACCTCGTTTGACAGCAGGGTGCCCCCCAGCGCATCCCTGGCTTTCTCAGACCTCACAGAGGAGTTTATAGACGGCATGCATGAGAAGTTTGTACGGGAAATAGAAGAACTGATATCTGAGAATGATTACCTCAAGGTAAGTCCAATATATTCGACTAAGTGTCAACTATGATTGTGACTAAATGTCCCATGGGTTTTTCAAATGACAAACATAAACAAAAGGCCTAACCGGCCTATTTTATAATTTGGTTTCTTTCATTGTAATGTTGCTTTTTGGCCTATATGCTAAAACTATTTATCATGAGCATGGTGTAATATAAAGTCAGTTCAGTTTGTTCACTATGATTTGCTTCCTAGAGTGTAGAAATGCCTTTGGACTCCATTCAATGCTACTCACTACAGGGATGATGATGTTATGATTAGAGAGCATGCAACACAGACACATGAAACACATGAGCGAAACATGTAGCCTTGCAGCCTCCACATCAATGTCATCTCCCGACGAATAGTCAAATTCATCGTTCAAAACGTCGATTTCATTGCAAAATTCCTCCATCGCTGAAATATCTGCCACGTTGTGTTGACTTCCGGTATGGATACCCGGAGCGAGGACCCACACAGTGACGTCACCATTTGGGACTCCCCTAATGGCAGCGGCCTGGTCCCGGAATTCCCCACCCGGCCGGCGGATAATTAATTTTCTTTTGGCGAGTAATATCATATACAATAAATATTACGATCAATATCCATTGTAAAATGAATAAACTACCGGAATATTATAGCTGTAATGGTGTTTCCTTTCCCCTTTAACACATGCGTCATTTCAACTATGGTGGCAGTCATATAATAAAAAACTTGAGAGGCCCTATCTATGATGGACACCTTGGAAGAAGACCAGCTTTAACACGACCATTTTGTGTTTCATGTGAATACACACCAATGCAAACAATTTTAGGAATATTATATTTAATTTCTGCTAATAGATACCATTAGCCCTTTGAGGCCTGGGGACATAATTACACAGCTTTGCAAAGTGCTGGGCGTTGTGAAAGTGTATTTTTCCAACCAACTCCGTAGAATTCGGAACATGATTCTGACGTTTGACCTGAATAAGAGACCAGGTGTGATCATTACTTTCCATTACTCAGGCTCAATCAAAGGCTCCATCCAACAAACCCTAATCCACCACATTCCAAATGTTGCATATAAATTAGACATTGTGGTTAAATAAGTGGCCAGTCTATGCATCACTATGGATACCAGAGCTCAGATAATTGCCTTCAGTTCTCAAGAAGTGCCTTTTTCACAGGAAACCCATCACCTTCATACTCCCTTTAACTTTAAAGACACCCTGTTGATTACCACTGGATGAAAATAGCTACTAGCTAGAGAAGAACACAGTTATCAATGTACAACAAATTGTGACACAGTTGGGTGGACTATTGGTATGGAAGCATATAACATTTTATGTTATACCAGTCAACTCACCCTGCAGTGAATATCAGGATGTCTTCATACATCTTAGCCTTCTGACAGGCCTCTGCTGCCTTTAAGTAATTAATCTTAACAAAAACCAAGCAGCCTTTTATCTATATTGTAATTGCTTAGGTTACACAACTGTGGCTGTCCCCACTGGCTAGACAGGCATATTGATAAGATAATCAAATAATTACAAGTCTAACAACAGTGTGGCCTAATTCATCTTTAAAAGTGTTTTTGAATCGTACCCTCAACCAAGTAAAAAACAGATACTCCTGACCAATGCGATGTCTTAATTTGGATACTCTCCTTTGTCGTAAACGGTGAACACTTTGGCAGTGTATGAATATTCACTGCGTAGCATCGTCTGAAACCACACAGATGCTGTGCCCTAAACCGGAAGTAACAGTCATTACTGTAATCCAATAATATTAACAATGGCTTCTTTTGGAGCATATTATAGCAGTGCATTTATTTAAACAAATAGAAGACCCACATATATTTGTATAGTGCTTTATACACTGGAACAACCAAAATCATGGCCGGTCACTCCACTTCCGTTATGTAGCCAGTATATGTTTTACTGCTGTGAGAACACTATAAGAATATAGTCATCCGAAATGGCTAACCTGTACCATGCTTGTCTGGTTGTGTTTACTTTGTGTGATAGTTAGTAGAGTAACATTCAGTAAACCGACTTACCGATTTAGTAGCAGTTAGTTAAATCTAGTGATCTGTGAGGTAAAATACAGTTTTTGTACATAGTTTGGTGGCCTTGAAGAGAGGCAACATTGTTTTCAGGTGAATTCTAACAAAATAATGTTTAGTTTTAGTTGACAGTTGATTACAAAAACAAAACGGCACATCAAATAGTTTTTGAAAACATTAAACATTTATATTCAGTTATCAGGGTAGTGGGAATGGAGGAAAATGAGGGAAATTAAAGGGAAGATAAAAACAAATAGCACAGAGAAAAACAGCCTTTATCACATACTGTATATGTGATGTGCATGTACAAAATAAGGCATGTACAATAACGATCATCTTTTTACAACAAGAAAGGCATTCAATGTACTAACAAACACACATGCACAAAGCACACACATCACTTTTAAGAAGCCACCAAATGAAGCCCTTCACAGAAGTCACAATAGTTGATTGCCAAAAAAGTCGTCATTTAAATGCTGCATTATTGTTGCATTTGATGGGCCATATAAACTGTTATCCTATGTTGTTGTGTCCTTGCTTGATGTTTATCTTCAGAAATGTGGGCTGACTTTCCAAGCACGCACATTGGGACACCATGACACTTATTTTTTCCAAAGCAAAAATGCATTGGGATGCATCATGACGGAAACGGTGTTCAGCTGGAATTGTAGTTAAGGCAACCAAAGAGTAATAAACTCCTTTAGATGGCTGTAGATTAAATTGTATAGCGCTTTGTGGAGAAAATGAAACCACTATGATTCAATTCACTGAACATTTGTTGGCAAAAACGAAGGTTTATCATGTCTACACATTCCAGAAGATTACCTTTCTTCTGCAGCTGTCATGCTGCTGCCCTTTTTTTATTTAAAAAACAACATCAACCTTTTTTTACAACTGTTTTCCCAATATATATATATTGTTTCAATGTTTGTTTCTAAAATGTTTGTGTGTTCTTTTGAAATACATTGAAAGGACCAGGAGTGGCTGGATCAAGTTAGCTACCTAGCTAGTAGCAAGCACGTTAGTTAGCATTACAGTCTTAGCCTTGTCATTTGTATTAGCCTTAACATGAAGAAGTAACATCAGGTAACCCAAAATGTTAAACAGTAAGAGTAGTAGTCATATTTCGTGAACCCTTTGAAGAGTACTGTCACACCGGTGTGATCATTCTACAATACACAATTTAAGCCCGGGGGAGAAATGCTAACGCTACATTAGCATCGGCGATCTTTTCTACTTCATGCTATCTGCACAAATGGTTGACATTAAACATTAAAAAGATCAGGCAGAGAGAATCAAAGGAAGGCAGGTAGACAGCTTTGCATGACATTATTCTGGACGCGTTTCATCGTGGTGATAGTGAGGGTAGACAATCCCTTGTTTAGCAAGACAGTAGTGACGGCCATCTTGGTGACGTGTGTTGTTGTGCGAGACCAGAGATGTAGTTCATTAAGCGTTTCACACAAAAAAATGTGTTACTTCACAGTTTGACAACAAAATCCAACAAGCCTAAAATGTCAACGTAGAGACGAGATTGCGGAGTTAAACAGATGTTTTTAGCGTTTCCTCATCTGTGTCAAACGATCAGTCAGCTGATATTTTCTATTTTTGAACCAAGTATACATTTTTCATAAGAAAGCTCTATACATTATTCCATATCATTTACATTCAGTCAAAGTTTCTTTGTCTTTGATAACCCTCTTTATTTTGAGTGACATGGATTGGGTTGCTCTCCAAACAAATGCACTACAAACTGTTTCCTCAGTGTATGCCACTTTTATTGAGGAATGCTACAGTGTTTCCTCCTCATCCTCAGCTGTCGCAGTCGTAATAACAACAGGCAGATTTTCCTTTAGCGAGATATCGTCCACCTGCTTGGGTCCGCTGTCCTCCGGTTCTTCAGGTATGGATGGGTCCGAGTTACTGATCACGTATCCGGGGAGGGTGGCGTGCATGCCGATCACAGCGGGATCCGTGCTCCGATAAACACGGCTTGAAACCAGCGTGGTGGAGCGTGTGGAAAGTCCCGCCCCCGCCAGGTGGGAGTGGCTGCTGGTGCTGTTGTTGTTGATGCCGACAACTACGGAGCCGTAACGATAGCGACCGCAGACCACCGGGCCCTCCCACTCAAATGCAAGGTTCCAGCGTGTCCATGTTTTCTTTATTTCTGCCTGGACCTGTGGGATGGGAAGAAGAACATCTATATCACAAATGGTATTGCAAATGATCAATAGAATACTAGAATGTATGATAGAGCATTATACAGTATGTTGTCATAAACTGGAGCAAGGGTCATATCATGGTTTTTCATACTGTCTGTGCTTATTAGCTTTTATTTGTGCTCATGTATGTGATTTTGTGTCTGTTAATGGGTTTGTAGGCAAGGGCTTTTAACTGGGCGTATGTACTTTATATGTGCTGTGAGTCAATTGTTCTTATGTGTTTTTATTCTACTCATGTGCTTTTGCCTGTGCTTTCTGTTCTTATCTGCTCTTGTAGATACACCATTATTTCTAAACCCCAAAAGCACGAAAAGGGTTGCTTTTCTCAATTATTTAATTTGTTTTACGTTTTCTTTGGTGCAATGTAATCATTTTTGTTCCACTGCTGTTTCCATTGTAGTTTAATTTGAGTTAATTGTGATTTTGTCTGTGATTGCACAGTGATTTTGTCTTAGTTTGTGAAGGAATTAACAAACTAAGACAAAAAAGTAGTTTTGGTGCTATATAAATTAAGTAGTGATTCAAATTAAGTCTTAAATCACTTGCCTTCTAGGTCTTCCCCAACAATTGAAATATTTTGAACTTGTGTTTGTCTTCACACAGAACCATATGTATACAAATGCCACCATTCATATTATAGCAGGTAGCAAACACTAGCTTGATCTTTTTTGCTGGACACAGCTGCCTACTGCTATTTATCCGCAGGTTTATGAAATGCTAACTTTGAACTGTACCCTCTGCATGGGATGAATGACTAACACAATACATTAAAAGAGTAGAGTTGCAGAGTAGGGTGTTATTTGTCAGTATAAGCTGAGACCATTTCACATTACATGAGTCATTTAGTCCAGTGATTATAACAAAATGATATTTTATGGAGCTCAAAACAAAAAAAGACATCTGTTCCATTTTGAATTAAAAACAGAGGGCTTGCCAAAGTGCTTCACAATGAACATAACATTATAACAAAATATAATATTACAAGAATAGATAAAAGGCACACATAAGAATAGATAAATATAATAAAAAACTGAAGTTTTGTGAAGATAAAACCAGCAGTCTATTCTTATTGCAAATTGAAAGCTCTTAATACAAATTTGTTCAGATAGTGGAGCGAGATCAAATGAAAAGAGCTGTCATATTCTCTAAGGCAAGAACTCGGAAGTAAGAAAAAGGAAAAGAAGCTAATGACACTTATACAAAATTTCAGCCAGAAGCTCAATTATGCGTGTCACTTATGTAATTATACCCTTTTTGAATGGCTACGTTTTGTTTAAACTACAGTGTAATCAAAGCACTTGATTCGCTTTAGTTTCTCAGTATTTTGGGTTTTACTTTGTGAGCAGATGCATTTGGAAAAAATCGATTCACTTACCTCTCCGTTGCAGTAGCAATAGATAATGGACACAAAGAAACCCTGAAAGGGAGAGATTGAATTACAAATTGGAAGCGCAGATGTCAGTGGAAGCAAGTGACAAGAAATGTCACATACAGATTATCACTACAGTTGATCAAATGTCATTCTTACAATTCACTATCTATTATCCATCAAAGATGATAAGTAGGGTAAAGGGCACCAACTATGTATTCACTTCAAACAGTGCTTATCTTATTTTAAAAATAAGAAGACAGCATTATTAGCTCCTTTGGCTGTGGCTGTTTTGACCTGTTTCACCTTGTGTTCCTGCCTCCAAGCACGATAAGAAGTTAAAGGAGAGAAATTGTGTCTTTGTGACAATGATGGGTTATGGGAAGGTGTGTGCCCATGTATGTGAGGTTTTACTTTGGTGTGTAACTGCCTTGCTGCATGTCATTGCTGGTTAGAGGCAATCAGGCAGTGGCTTTGAGAACTTAAATCAACACAGTGAACGAAAATGCATCTTAATAATAAGAATATTGCTGTTTTGATCCTCATTTAAAGCTCACCTATTATACTATATTTGAACAATATATTATAGGGCCGTATCTATACAAAACACGTCTCGAAGTGTTTTGCTCAAATTACCAAACAGATCACCCATTGTGGCCATACCCCTCTATTTCAGCTCTGTTACGAAAGTGCTGATTCTGGGTCTGGCCCTTTAAATGTAACCCGAGCTGCTGCTGGCCACGCCCCTTTCCGCATGCAAGCAGTGAGCTATGTGAAGAGAAGGCTGTTTAACGGCAGAAACTCAGCTAAACGCTGTGGTGATTAAACGCCATATTATGTTCCAAACCACATCAAGCATTATTTCTGAAACAGTATGGAGCTCAAACGCATAATAGGTGACCTTTAAGTTTACAACTAGTCAGAAAGTGTAATTTGTTTTTGAAAGTTCTATTACAATTTAATATATATATATACAACAAACAAATATTAATAAATGGTGGCTTTTTTTAGCTGAGGCTTGCAAGAAAAAGATAGGCTTGTGTCACTAATGTATGCACACATAAAAAAAAAATGTCTGATGACATTTCAAAAGCTTATCAGAGAGAACACACTGCCGACTTCCCAACTCTGGGGGAAATTATTTTAAGCTTCCCAAAGGCCAACTTTTTGGTGGAAATGGAGAAATGTGTTACTGTGCTGGCATCCGTCATGACATAATTCTACCAGCACTGTGTCGGTATCATATCACGTTGCCAACAGCAGCTCACAATGTCCAGATTTCCCCAAAGGGGGCACCATGCCAAAAGGAAGCTCAGTTGGTTTGACTGCACAAACACATTCGAGGAAACATCTCTTGTGACACTGAACAAGCAGGTGCGATGTTCACACATGCACCAATGGTGTGTGAATGTGTCTGAATGTTAGCTTCCCTGAGCAATTGGCATCTTGTATGAATGGGTGTGAATGATGAATGTACAGCGGTGTGGGGGTCGGAAACATCTGAAAAACATTATATAAAATGCAATCCATTTACTTTTTAAACAGGACTAGACCCACTGTTAACTCTGTGATGTACTACAACCCCTCACTACAAGCCTTGCACAGCTCAATATCACTGTTTCCCCATGGTATTGACTGCTGAGCAAATCAAATGTAAAGAGTATGAGGTGCTTAAAACTCACCCGATTTAAAGTCAATGTATCCCGTGGCATTAAAGGAGTCATATTAAGGTTGGTTTGTGCTGGTTTTTTTTGCACAATTTGAATTAACAGATTACATAATATACAGTATAGCAAGAGGCATAAAAAAACACTGAGCATAATTGAAGCCTCCAGCTAAATAATGTTAGAATTCACAATCTTATTGAAAATACAAGATCAATACACAAATGAATATGGTTTCATTAGTGATGGAAAACTATCTGAACTACATTGGTCATGCTCAGTGACTTAACTTGCAAACTCCTCTAGGGATCCCTTTGTCTACTTGAAGGCCTTAACTAATGCATTATTGTGCTTAAATATTTACTTCTAAATCAATGTTTTATAATTATCACACAGCAAGGAAATAAAAGAGTGTAGAAGGGACGAAAGGTCAGTAGAGGTGTTTTGCCCCATGGTCTCTTTTCAGGTTAGTCCAGCACTGGGTATTGCTGACTGTGTATCTTTATTTTCTTGCATAGGGTTATAGTTTATAGTAAAGCTTTAACTTCTGATAAAAGTTGACTTCAGTTTTATATAAATATTGGATGTATATGACAAAGGAACACTCTGATCTAGGACTAATCTGAAACTGCAACCAAGGATTAATTCATGTTTTTTAAAAGTCTCAGTCTGGGCACATATGCGAGTGGGAGCGATAATTATAATCTTTTCATCAAGTCACATGCGGTGTTCTTCACTAGGTTATTTGCATCCCTGCAGGATAAAAGACAAATGCGGACAGCAGTCAGACTCTTTCTTTTATGTGGATTAATTTACATTTGGCTGAGATGGGTTACAAATTAAACTGTGAGAAGGTTTGCAAATGTTATAGCCTTGAGAATTCCTGCTCTTACTTGTGTCGTCTTTTCGTCAAAGCTTTCATCATATTTAATAGTGCCTCAGTTCAATCATGTAAATGGTTCTCAATTATTGTTGAGTTTGTCTCCTTAGCTTCCCTTTTACATAACCATGCAAAGTCTCAACACTGGCACAACATTGACATGGCATGCAAGTGAAAAATGATGTATTAATTACCATACTTTGAATACAACCCGTTTGCTATCAACAAATACTCATTCAAAGCATTTCATATATAATTTGCCTGCCTGGTTGATGTTCCGCAACACTGAATTTTCTATAATGTTTGATGAATTCTTCTATTAAACTTGCCATACATATCTGAAGTACCAGTTAGCCTGTTGGCTGCAAATATTGTTATTGATTTGTCAGAATGGCTACAGTTGCTAGGCTACCATCATCCATGTAATCAGAAACTATAAAATATTAGATTATTTATATAAAGCTCTTTGTTGCCAAACATTGTCAGTTAAAACGGGAATTTAATAATTGGGAAATATGCATCAAGACAGTCAGATAATGAATTACTACTTAAGCCACAGCTGCCGAGGAGATGGCAGCTGTGGATATTCTGAGTCATAGAGAAATACTATTAGCCGCATCCCTCTGGAGAAGAGTATAACATTGGAGAATTTGTCCTTACAATTCAATCTGGCTTCGTAAATTTAGCATCATGAGCTGCAACATAGTCGGTCATTGTTGTTATACTAAACTAGAACGGACATCATTTCAGTAGAAAAAGGGTTTCATGTCCTCAAGGGTTCCAAATGGTGCGTAGTATTTGCATCTGATTAAAAGTGTGAGGCTTTTAGTCTTTGGATCCAAACAAAATTAAAATAATTTGAATGTAATCAAGTATTGTCCAATGCAGAAACAAGTAGTTATTCTAGCTATTAAGAGCGTCAAAAAGCAGGTTACATATGGTTCCAAGACATATAATATGTAACCAATCAACAATTTGATTACGATTAGAAATAACAAATATATGTGTAAAATAAACTTTAAATCCATACAATGCAAATGTTTGTTTGATGCAGTTGATAATTTATGTATTATATATTATTTTCACACAGGTGCAAGGCCATTGTCACCGGGCACATCCCATGTCTGTGCAATTAAGTCTGGTTGTTCATGCTGAGATGGATAGATGATGCATCTGAGCATATTTCTGTCACACCAGGCGGCAGAGTGCAATTTAGGCATTACATTTAGCTTCTGTTGTCTTCTGTTGGCCACCATCACAAAGGCTAACAGAATCGTTTTTTGGCTTTAATTAGCAGATACCCACACAGAATTCTCCATCACCACAAATCCTTCTCTGTTCAGTTTCCCTCTGTTGCCCTGACATATCATATTTAAACTAGAACATACCTAAATACAAATAAAGGTTTACATTTTGTTGATTTAAATGCAGCTGTCGAATTTGAGTGTTGATGGAGCACACATAATTCTCGCTAAAATCTAAGGTTAAAATAAAATAACACATACATGACTTTACAGACTAACTTGTATTCTGTTCACATTGGAACCCTTTTAAAAACGGATTAACACTCATCTCATTTAGTCATTAAAGATAGTCAATATGAGTCATGCTTCCTGTTTGTGAAGACACCACTCATTGCTTTTAAGTTCTCTTCAGGATTTTGGCCGATTATCCATTATCCTAACTCCTTTCCTCAAACATAGCAGGTGTACAAATGACTCGTACATTTCACTTCAAGCACTCCTTGTATAGCCCACTACTCTTGCTCCATTAGACAGACCCCTTATCAAATAGCTTGCCTTGATGGACACTGCCAGCATTTTAAGAAACATGTTTCTAATACACTGCAATCTGATTTATCAATATCTGTTCAATCTTATGCCTGCACTTTTATCATGGGCACTGATAATATAAGAATCGTTTTTTTCCATTTTAGTTTTCAATGTATGTGCTGTCACGGGAAAAATGAAGATGGTTGACAGTGAACAGTTTTCAAAAGATTGACACTTTCTGAATATTTATGTATTATGTTGAGAAAAAAGTAATAAGCCATGCAGTTCCCGACCAACAAAATAATGCAAGTAATTTGTATGTTAATGTGATTTTTAGGAGAGGCATAGCAATTTGATGGAGAAACGTCTAGTTATTGGTTTATATTTATATCATCACATACATACAAAATACAGCTTTCCTGATCTTTTTGTTCCGTTTCCATATTTTTCAAGAACGGTATGTGTATGAAAGCTTGTTATTATTTGTCTTATTTGGTTGGTGATGGAACATTTTAAGAGACCCTATTATGCTTGTTGGGTTTTTCTCAATATATAGGTTTTTGTGGAAGTAAATAGTTTGCAGGTTTGCAAGGCTAAAATCCTAAAGTTCCCTCCTGAGGGAGTTTCTCTCCCACACTCTCCCCCCCTGCCTGAAAAGCTTTGACAAAACTATTTTGTTTACTTCTTTAATATGAAGACATCACTATGTAAGAGAATGTATGAGACAAATAAAGCACTTTTTGAACATTAAAGCATGTAAACATGTCAGGATACAGTAGATGCATAACATTCAAATATGGACCTGAAAATGAGCATTTTATGTGCTATTTAACTTTTGATCACAAAAGTTCCGGAAGGTTAAAACAGACGGTATATAAATCAAAATACTCAGATGGATCAAGGCTCTATTTTGTTCCTAGATTCCTTTATGCATTGTGTCTTAAGTATTTTTACAATCCAAACTAAACTTACATTAAAATCAACTGATAATTCCCTTGGCCATGGACAACCAACATTCAGGATTTGAACACCATGAAGATTTGCATTTATATATTGCTTTTGGAAATAAACTTTTCAGCAATTGTTAATTGAATTTACTGTTAATGTATGATAAACACACTTGTGGTCATAATTAATGACACAAATGTAGCTAATTGATGAATGAACAATGTGCAAAAACCAATCATTTGACCTGAAAACATAAGAAGCGCCAACAAGCTTGTTAAAAGTGTGAACAAACTACAGTATCATCTGCAGAATTTAAAATGCAGAAAATGAAGAATACTGTTGACTTTAAACCACAATTTCCTGTGATCTAAGAAAACAAATGTAAGATGGATGGATGTTCTCCATGAACAAGTTTGAATTAAATGAGCAATAGCTAGAATGTGAGAATATTGTTGGCTCCAGTAGTGTCATTTCTATTTAATTTCCCCACGGAATTGCTCTTTTCCTGATTAATTTCATACATTTAAGGCAATTTAAGGTCAAACTGAGATTATGGTCATTACAATATCTCATTACTTTAGGGAAGGAATATAGACTCAACACTGTCAAACATGTTTCATATGTCAAGGTAGAAAATAAAGAAGGATTGGATATGAAGTATAATTAAGTTAATATTTAGAAAAGGTCAAGCCTGAAGGTGTTTTGAAATTGCTCACTTAAAAGTCATTATGAAGCTGCTTCACCGAATAATGAAGTGCAGTCTTGACTCAGACAGCCACATGCAGAAGATTACAATGTTAATGAGCAGTGGGAGACATAGAGTATGGTCTGATACTAAATTGACTCTCAATTAATTGATCAGACACCTTTTTAACAGAAATGATGTGCATATGAAGGGTTTTTAATGAGGGAAACCAACTGTATATTATAAGAGGAAAACTCTATTTACAGTACATGAGTATGACTTGGTATATCATGTCTGATCCTGCTTCCAGTGCTGGTGCATCTGTGACATCAATGTTGTGGTGGCTACCTCTACCTCAAAAAGAGTTGGTGTTCGTATAACAATGAAAAAACGAACAAAGCAGATTTTGAAGTATTAAGAGGGTTTTTTAACATTATCAGCAAGATAAAATAACGGTTTTCTAACTGGAGTCTGGTTACTTTAAGAAGAGAATAATGAGTTTTGAATCAGCCATATCATCGTAGTTTAAAATGACAGCAACACTGATCGAAGTGCTCTGCCCCGTAACTGTCCAAGTCACATTTTATTTTCCATTAACGAGTCTTTAAACACTGAGCCCAAACCACATTGCCTTTAGTGTTTACTTCCTGTCTGTCTTCGTGTGCTGATTTTCTGACATCCAGCTCTTTTACCTATTTCCTTCTCTTAAGCTCATTTCTTGTTCTGGTTTTCTTTTCTTTACTGGTGACACTTTAGCCATAATGAATCCTAAGTTTTGTGCTGTCCAAAAGTGTTAAAATGAATATAAAAAAATGGACCGGACTTCTTTCTGCGGATTGATATGACTGCACATGGTCCTTTGATCAGAGCATCCCTAGTGGTGGTCTGCTATCGGAAAAGACCACTGAATGTCCGTATTGAACATCAGAATCGAGTATTCAACCTAGCTGTATGATAACGAACACTAGTTAAATACATGTAATTTAACTGAAACTTTTATCCAAAGCGACTTAAATACAATTCAATACAGGGGCTGGGTTCGAACCAATGACCCACACAATGCTCCCCATAGTTGCATATTAATTGCATGATTGAAATGTTGATAAACTGTATATTCACAGCAATTGGAGTGGTTACTATACTGATGATGAAATGTGCTTTAAATGACATGAATTCAGTGTACTACCTGATCTTTGAATGTGAGGACCAACCTTGACTTAGCATGCTTGCGTAAGCACTTCCTGAAGGTTAAAGGCAGACTTTTCACATAACTTCAGCCACCAATGAGCAAGTGTTATTAATTAAAAAGAAGAGAGTACCTGAAAGGAGTTGAAGAACAGCTCACAGTACATGCGGACTTCCCAGCTCAGGCCCTCGATTGTATACGGCCCCACAAAGATGATGTAGTGGATGCCAAACACCAGCACTAGTACAAGGGTGGACTTTGCCAGTTTCCTGTAGAGACGTAAACACACAGGTAGTAAACACGTATACAGGGCAGTGCTGACTTGCTTTGGATTTGTGTGGTTTTATTGGTGAGATAGAGACTAAGACCAATGCTTTTTTTTTTTATTATGCTGCTTCCAAAACGTATTCGTTCAGAGAAGACACTGGAGAAAATGTCCAAAATACACATTTAGCTGTTTCTTTGTATGTGCCATTTATACCCATCAGCCAGCGGGTATTATTTACCTTAAGGAAAATGCAGTGATTTTCGTGCTATTGATCTCGCACATAAACATAAACATGACGTGTTGCTATAGCAACGCCTGTTGTTTACTTCGGTTCCTTAGATAGATGATAGATAGATAGATCGATAGAGAGACACTTTTAGCGATATTTTATACTTCATGCTATCTGCACAAACTGCACAAAAGTCCTCCAACTCATACGACCAAATAGGTCGATTGCTCAGCAGCTTATTACGACCTATAGTCACGTTTTAAAGTTTAACACCTCTAGTGGTCGTGTAAGAAACAACAATTTGCGGCAATTGCAAACGCTCCGGAGGGTCGTATATTCACAAATAACCCTCTCTGGAAAATCCTAAATTGTAATATAGTTTGGCCATTAAAATGCTTTTTGATTAGATGTCTAGCGAGAAGTGTATATTGTACTTGCGTCAACCCTCACCGGGTGAAAATAGTATTTCCGGTCTTGAAGTTTCCATAATAAAACCGTATTCCCCTCACTGTCAAATGATTTAACAGTGATATACATGTATGCCGTACTCATCCACTAAAAAACATCAGTTTATCCTTGTTAACCCTGTGTTCTAGTATGATAAATAAAAGAACATTGTACCTTGAAAATCAATGTATTCTAATAGCGGGTACATTTTACCCGTTGTCGGTTTTAGGTATACAGCGACCCCTGGCGGTTCTAGTGTTAAATAATCATTTTTTAACAGTGATATATTTCATTGTTGGACCCTAAGCTGTCAGGCTTCAGAGTTTTTATTTATTTATTTATATTTTATAGGCCAACAAATCGTTTTATGTTGCTTCCATAAAATATATTCTTTCAGAAGATACAGGGGACAATGTCCAAAATACACATTTAGCTTGTATTTATCTACATGTATGTGTTTATCATCCAGATGTCTCCTTAATTCAGAGAATGCCTCATTTTGTAAAAAACAAACAAAAACAAAACAAAAAACCAACAGAAACAGGAAAAACTTTCTAAATAAAAAAAATAAAACACAACAATTAAAGCAAAAATATACGTTACTTAATGTTAGTGATAAACTGGTGAAGTTTGGGTGATATTATTTTATTGTTTTACCCTTTTTAACTTTTAACATCCTGAAAAATACATATTAGTTGTTTTCTGATATGCTGAGGCAGAGTTTGATGCATGTCATAGCCGTCTCTTGCCCCAACGCTTCAAATATGGTCGTACTCTGTCAAATGAAGGTATAAATGCAGAAAAAAAAATTAGTTATAACAATGACAAATCCATGGCATGATTTATTATTAATTATTGAAGATGATGGTAACAGTACATTCAATATCACTGGGAGGAAATTATAAATAACTGAAAAAAACTAATAAGACACTGTAACATATATGATAAAATCTGACGTCAATTATGCGTAATTGTCAGCCAGTTTAAAACATATCCCTGCATAGCAATGCACTGCACTCTTTGGCATATTTTCCAACATGCACCAACAGCACTTGGCATATAATACTGAATCTAATAAAAGTTTAAAATGTATTTGGTACTTTCCTCAGTGACAGACATGACGTGCTTGGTGTGATTTAGCAAAAGTATAAATTTAAATGTGTGAATGTAATTATTAATGAATATTAATTAAATAACAAATGAGTTGTATGGAACTGTGTTGATGGCTTCTAGGACCCTAGATAATCAGATAACTGATGTTTTATTTGTATAGCGAATTAAGCTCACATTCCCTCCACAGGAACATAACTCGTCCTTGAGGGTATATTTTAGAAGTTTCGCTCTGCAAATACTAGACTGGGACAATGAGGTACAGGATATTATTTTAGCATTTGTGGCTTAGCGTTAGGGGAATCTGCATTACAAATCCTGCAAACCAACTCTGCGAGTTTATTTCCCAAAGCCTATCACAGCTTTTCGGTATTTTGCTGATCCAGCAAGCTTATTCACACATCTAATTTAAAAAGTGACAGATGTTCAAATTTGTGTTGTTAAAATCATTTTCTTCTCTAATGACTTTTATCCAGATGCATAGGTAAAACATATTTTTTGTTGAGGTGTTCTACATTATTAGGTAGAACAACTTTGTGTTACTCCACATTTGTGGTACAGCTTTAACAAACAAAAAAGAGAGCATTTGTATTACTGTTTCTAATATTCCAATCATTTCACATCAAAAGGTACTTGCAATCAAATATCTCGAGTACAATATTAACACACTTCAGCAGTAGGGATGGATACCGAAACCTGGTATTAAAGGGCACAAGTGTGTTTAGTAGTGTTTTTGTTTAAGGGTGGCAAACACAAACAATCTGTCCAAACATCTGGCGAGATTGCACCATATTCAGGTAGAGAAATGCACAGTTTTCCGACTTCCAAAACTGGTAGTTCTGTTGCCCCATATCGAGTACCGGTACCACTTTACGTATATTATGTATGCTAGCAGCCTTTAAACCATAAACGGAGTTCAATAAATTACAGAAGCGTGGGTTGATGATTAATGATAACATTTGTTTTTAATTTCCATCATCACATTAGTCTGTTAATATTTTACATGAACCAAAGTAGTTATACACATACCACTTCAATCTCATTAGTATGCATAGAAAGTGACAGGTCACACATCCAAGCCCCGCCCCCTTCCGCCGGAAGTCCCGCCCCCACTTCCGGTTTTTCAAAATAAAATTAAAAAATATTTTAAAAATGATAAAAATAAAAATGCTGCCCCTACCGGTCGCCCCCACTTCCAGTTTTTCAAAAATAAAATTAAAAAATATTTTTAAAATGGCAGTATTGACTGCAACTTACAAATACTTGCAAATAACATGAAATATACAACCATATATTTTAAAAGTAATGTCTCAGCTCTAAAGAGCAAGGTCCCGCCACCTAACCACTTCCTGTGCCCCTGTATACAGCAGTATTGACTGTAACTTACAAATACTTGCAAATAACAAGAAATATACAACCATATATTTGTAAAAGTACTGTCAATCTCACTAACTCTCTCTCTCTCGCTCTCTGCTATTCTCTGCCGTGAAAAGTTTGGTGAACAGTCAAGACAGGTGTGGGGACCATAAAACCCCCAGACATCCTCTGCGGGACAAATGGTGGGGCGATGGGGAGGGGACACACACACACACACACGCGCACACACACACACACACACACACACACCCACACACACACACACACACACCCCCCACCACTCACCCCTCATCTGTTAGGGTTAGATAAATAAGAGCCATTCGTCTTTCTCACTCTTCAATATTTTCTCAAGTCGAGAGAAATGGCCAAGAAACGTCTTGATATGGGTGTAATCTGCGAGACACCGCCACCTAGTCACTTCCTGTGCGCCTGTACACAGCAGTATTGACTGCAACTTACAAATACTTGCAAATAACATGAAATATACAACCATATATTTTAAAAGTAATGTCTCAGCTCTAAAGAGCAAGGTCCCGCCACCTAACCACTTCCTGTGCCCCTGTATACAGCAGTATTGACTGTAACTTACAAATACTTGCAAATAACAAGAAATATACAACCATATATTTTTAAAAGTACTGTCAATCTCACTAACTCTCTCTCTCTCTCTCTCTGCTATTCTCTGCCGTGAAAAGTTTGGTGAAACAGTCTGAAGACAAGCTAGGACACGTCATAAAACCCCCCGACATCCTCTGCAGGCAAATGGTAGGGCGATGGGGAGGGGGGAACACACACACACACACATTTAAATTCAGAGGATGAAAAAGCAGAAAACATAACTTGTTTTGTAAAACGGTCAGCACGTCAGTTTCAAGAAAGACGTTTGCATACATAAAAAAGTGTATCTTACAGTTCCTTTTGTGAGAGAATTACACACAAATCTGCAGAGTGTCACTAAAAAGTTGTAACACAGGGACTGACATTCTGTATGGGGTTTCACACGGACACAAAGTCTACTTCATTATCTACTTTTGTCAGCTTTTATACACAAAAGTGTATCTTTCAGTAACTTTCTCAGAGAATTTAAGCATAAATCTGTCAAAGATTCTTAACGAAATCTACTTCATTATCTACTTTTCAGCTTTTATACACAAAAGTGTATCCTTCAGTAACTTTCTCAGAGAATTTAAGCACGTCAGTTTCAAGAAAGACGACAATAATTAGTAGTTAGACATTTTGGAGAAATGTTCTCTGTCGTTCTTAATGCAAAAACAAATCATCTCTACTCCCTTTGGGTGAAGTCCAGGAATGTTCTCGGGGGGAGTGGACACTTGCTGTTACATGGCATAAAGCTTCTGCAGTGTGCCAATAAATGTATAGTTTCCCTAAAGCTCCATACATTTACACATATTGACTAATGACTCAGCACATGAGGGGTAAATACAAAACAAATCTAAATATCACCAATTATTCCAGAATGTGACTAGAATAGAGTCTAGAGAATGGACCCAGGCTTTGTCTTCAGCCATCAACTAAATAGGGGCGTGCTTTTTTTTTTGAATCACCAGTATGTTACTCACCATTGAAGACAGTGTTGAGGGGGCAAGCAAAGTGTACTCAGCGGCAGATTGCATGGAAGCAGAAAGGCCTGGCTCAGACACCATGTCTCCAAAGGTTGACAGGGAACTTCCAACCAGTTCCATCACCTGTTTAGCTTGAGGGAATTTAAACACCATTAAAAATATGGATTACAGAAAAACAATATATGTAGTAAATCGGGTAATCATTAATAAGGGGAAAATGTGCAAGTCTAACCTGAGTCTGGCATGAGCACTTGA